GCCCTCGAAGATCGAGCTGCAAGTAAGGCAAATCACTATGCGGAAACTTTCAAACCGTCTAGATCTACCCTCCTTGCTGCTGCTTTTTCAACGAACGGTGGTCTTGGCAAAGGCACCAATCGACTCATCGTTGCTATCGCCAACCACTTGGCGCACGAAGCTTTTTGCCGGGAAAATTTTGACGACGAGAGGGCCTTAGTTCGCCTGAAAGCTTTTCATACTAACAGGATTCGGAGACGGTTTACCTTCGAGCTAGCTCGTTTTCTGTCGATGCGAACTCGCGATGTGTTCAAACGTCATGGGCTACTGATCGACCAACTTCCGCCAGGGCCAATCGGTTGGGATCTCTGCGACAACGATCGTAGTGAGGGTAATTCTTTTGGGAGTGACGACGACGAAGAAAAGGGAAAAGGAAGAAAGTAGGACGAAGACGACGATGGAGCAGGAAAACATGGAGGAGTGGAAGAGAGCAAAGGGTTTGAGCCAGATGACCTTCCCCACAACAAGAAACGTAGGGCTAGGGAAGAACTGCCCAGAGATTCTTCTTGTCGAAATGAGGATCAGAATGATGGTAGCGAAAACAAGGAGGACACTGGTGAAAGTACTCCTAAACGAACTCGAGTACTAGGTAATAGCCTTGGTAGACGCGTGCATTTTTCGTCTGTTGCTGCTGTTTCTGTTTTTAATCCGAAGGATAGTTTAGCCTCCCCCATGCTGCCCCCTCACGGGGTCCCAGTTCATGGTAGATAGAAGTGTTTTATGTTTTCAACCGCACTAAGACTGACGTCTTTTCATTGGTCAGCCGGTTAGCGCGGTCGATGCTAATAATAAAAAGACACGCACGGCCTCGTCACGACCCTCACGGGCGGGCAGGCTAAGAACACAGAGGTGGCTCCAGCTATCTCACAGCCTACATCTGGCAGACAGTGCCTTCGACCCTTCGACGGCGGTGGTATCTCCTTCTCTCAAGGAATCACAAATCTTTGTGTGGACAAAGCGTGGGTACAACCTGGATTTCCTGGTACTACTACACACTACAGTACTATTGCGGCGGCTGCGGATACTGGATTCCTGGACGTGTTCACCTGAAGGAAA